AATCGTTTGCAGCGATCTAACAATTTGGAAATAAACCGGCTCAATGCAGTGATCCGTCCCGTAAGTGTTTACACTTCTTTGACTGTCGTCGGCTCGGCATTCTTAGTCAGAGCTCCTACTTGGGCAGGGCTTGCCTCTATGCCTCTATGATTAACCACGTATCCCAGGAATTGGCCAGAACTCACGTCGAATGAGCACTTGGTTGGATTGAGCTTCATTCCATATTGTCTCAACACATCAAATACGTCTCGTAGATGTTTCAGATGGTCAACTTTCTTCTTACTTTTTACCACCATGTCATCAATGTAAGCTTCCACGGTCTTCCCTATTTGGCCCTTGAAAATTTTGCTAATAAGTCTTTGGTAAGTTGCTCCGGCGTCCTTCAGTCCGAATGGCATGACTTTGTAGCAATAGGTCTCGCGTTCGGTAACGAAAGAAGTTTTCTCTTCATCAGCAGAATCCATGGGGATCTGATTATAACCTGAATAAGCAACTAAAAAGGTTGAACGCTCATACCCAGTAGTAGCATCCACTATTTGATCAATTTTCGGCAGCGGAAAGCTATCATTCGGACAGGCTTTGTTCAGATTGTGAAATCAATGCACACTCGCCATTTCCCATTCTTCTTCTGCACCACAACAACGTTTGACAACCAGTCAGGATAATACACTTCTCTTATAAATCCCGCATCAAGCAACCTGTCAACCTCCTCGGCTATGATCCGGTTGCGCTCGGGAGCAAACCGTCGCTGCTTCTACTTTACAAGTCTTGCATTGGGATTAACGTTCAAGGAGTGACAGGATACAGAAGGATCGATTCCAGGCATGCCTAGGTGGCTCCATGCAAATACATCAACGTTTTGAGATAAGAAATTAACTAACTCCTGTTTCTCCTCCACGGCGAGTTGTTCCCCCACTCTGGTTGTTCGTTCCGGTCGGAACCGATCGATCTGCACATCAACCATGGGTTCTTCGGTCAAGTCCACTTCGATCTGCATATCAACCAGGGGTTCTTTGGTCAAGTCCACTGGCTCTTCCTCCCCACTCTGCTTGGGGGGAGGCTCCTGTAATTGCTATCTCAGGCTTGCCGAACAGATGGGAGCTTTCCCTTTTCCAGCATACTTCAGCGTTACTGAATAACATTCCTTAGCTGCAACCTAGTCCCCATGAATGTCAATCACCTTGGTTCCGTCTGGCCCCAGGCATTTCATTATTTGATGCAGAGTGGATGGAACCCCTTGAACTCTGTGGATCCAACCTCTGCCCATCAGAAGATTGTAAGAGGGATGAATCTCGACAACTACAAAGGTCTCCATCAGAACCCTCTCTGCAGTGTGTACTGCTACCTCCACCGTACCGATGGACTCCACTCGTTTTCCATTAAACCCTAGCAAGGGATTTCCTGTGGGCTTGAGTCAGTCCGGCTTGATCTCGAGCCGATCAAATGTGTCCCTCGGCATGACGTTCGCACTACTTCTAGGATCAATCAGAACTCTACGTACCAAACATTCGGCTACTGTCAAACTGACGACCAATAGGTCCTCATGAGGAATCTGGACACGCAATAGATCTGTTCTGTCAAACTTTATCTGTGCTGATGTGCATTGTTGGTGTAGATTGTTGACACTACCTATCCTCGTCTTCATCCGTGCCTGGCGAAGGTGTGTTCGAAGCAGTTCATCTGACTCCTCAGTAGGCTCAGGCCGACCGTGAATTGCATTGATTATTCGAACTGGTTGCGTATTGTGAGAGTTTGACTTCTGATTCCTTTTCACGTGCTCCATTGGTCGGTTCTGTTCCACCGCCGGGCCTTGAATATAACTTGCGAACTCCCCTTTGGCCAAAGTTCCTACATTCATTAGTCTGATAGCCAAAGTCAGAATGAAATGCACAATGCTTAGACTGATCCCTCTGTTCGAGGGGTTGTCTAATCGGTAAAGGAGATCGGAACGTATCTTTATTTTCTTTATTTTCTCCTCTGTGGATATGACGGATGTCTTCCGAGCGTTAGCTGCCTCTTCTTCTTCCAAGCGCACAAATCCATCAGCTCTTTCGTTAAGTTCATCCATAGTCTTCGGCATATTCACGACCAAGCTTGTGTAGAATGGAGTGCCACGAGTCATGGCCAGTATAAACGCTTGAACCGCAGTAGAAGGATGACATTCAATCACCATACTCTTAGTTAAGTTAAACCTGGTTAGGAAAGCTTGGAGACGTTCATCCTTATGCTGCTTCATTGTGAATAGGCTCAAAATGTCCTTTGCTGGACGCTTATTTCCATAATATTGGCTTATGAACCGATCATACAAGCTTCGAAAACTATCCACTGAGCTCCTCGGCAGGTTCTTGAACCAATTGAGCGCTGGTCCAGCTAGACTTGTAGGGAAGCACTTGCACATCAAGGAATCATTCTCAGTGTTCAGAGCCATTTTCAACTGGATGTGATACACATGATCAATCGGATCGGTCGTTCCGTCGAACAGAATGAAAACGGGCATGAAAAATTTCCTCAGACTCGGGGCATTCAGAATTTCATCGGTGAACGGTGAATCAACCGTTCGAGCTGCTGAACAGAGGGCTTCATTTTCCCTCTGGAACCCTGCGATCGCTCTTTGATCTACAGATCTCCTCTCTAAGCTGCGATAGTCGAACGTCGCCATGGAAGGCCGATAAGTCGGATCGAATGATCTGTCCTCAATAAGTTCTTTGTGCCACAGCGGTATAGCTTTGTGACGATCAAACTCCATTGCTTCTCTTCGGTTGGTCACTTCTTGACGTGGATTGAAAGTTATTGCTTCGTTTCGCCTGATTTGCTCACGCCATGGATCCACGTGAGTTGATCCTTCACGATCATTAACACGACGAGGATTTAGCGGCAAATCGTTTAGCCGGACCTCATCGCGGTGAAGATCTGTTTGATTGTTCCCTACCTCCTTGCCGTGTTGTGCCGCATCGGTACGTGCAACTTCTTCTCCTGCCGGGAGCGGTCGCGGTCGCGGAATCACCGAAACTTCTTGACACTGCATTTCAGTCCTTAAATCTGCATTCTCTCTCTTGAGAGCTTCGATCATGCTCATCAACTCATCAAGTTTCATCTGCTAGACATTCTCTACCGTATTGGAGTTCTCACCCCCTATCATAATTCCGGAGCGAAGCAAAGGCATGAATCACGAATTTCCTAATCGGATCTGAGCGTCACCGATGCGAATTCTGTCAAATCTGGACTCAACTTCACCGAATCGTGGTCACTGTTTGCTAGATTTAAGCTTTTCTAGCGTTGAACTCACCGGATCTAACTACAATTGAACAAATCACAGTTGCGTAATTCTGAAGCAAATGCCTCAAAATCAACAATACTCAAGAATCTTCTCTGAACAAACTACAATCTCACTGATCTGGATTCAACTTCTAAAAATCAAACTTTTTGTTCACGAATTTGCTTGAATCAACATGATATTAATTAAGCTCGAATCGATCGTCTTCATCGTTCTCACAGACGGCGCCAATTGAAGATGCAAGAAATTCAATTACCTTTCTCTTTCTAGAATTCTTACACTTCAACAGAATGAAACCCCCCCCCCCCCAAAAGAAAACCTCTCTTTTTTCTACTCGTACTGTCTATTTATAGACCATTACAAATGCTCTAACTAACTTATTACCTAGGGCTCTTATTCTTGGGTTTTCTTCCTTTTGGGCTTGACTTCATCATGTAAGTCTCAGACGTTGAGCCTAACTCACAGTATTGCATTATGGGCTGAGTTCAACTGTTCGGTCAGATCCTTCTTTCGTGGGTGTTGGGCTCATTACGCTACCCTTTTTGCTTGGGCTCGGATCTACCACTCAACCTGGTGCTCTACCCGCGGGTCGGGTCTGGTCCAGTTCATCTTTGATATCCTTAGCTGCAGTATTTTCTTCCAACTCCAAGAGCAAGGTTTTGAAAATCCCAGCTCTGTTGGCAATTTCCAAATTAGGGATCCCCAAGCCACCTGCAAGTTTTGTAATAGCATATTGTTGTCAAAACTTGACTGATTAAAACTTATAGCGCAGTTATGAATTCAGAAATTGGGTTAGAATATGGTTAATAATTTTTAAATCCAAATAATTAGGGTTAGAGTTACCGCTCTAACTCAAACTCAAAACGAAATTACAAACATTACAAATCCTAATTCTTAAACTTTCATAAATCATACTCTTAACAAATCTACTCAAATGATTATGTGTCCATTTGGTACATTATGTATTAAACACTTAATAAATTATTTACATTTAAACTCTAATCATAAGTTTGACAATTTCAATCATTTTTCGTGACACTAAAATTATCAAAAATACAATAAATATTTCCACAAAGTACTTAGAACACCAATAACCTTGTGGTATAGTAATATTTCTTCTACTTCTCTAAAAAAAAATTAACCAGAATTCTAGTTAACAAACATTTTTAAAAAGTTGGAAAAATGAAAAGAAAGTACAAGAAGAGTTTCTCAAAGTCTCGAGTGACCACCAAGTTATCACAAAAAAAAAAAAAAAAAAAAAGGTTCATGCGTGTAGAATCATGTTGAATTAAACAAGATTGTTATTTCAATTATTCAAATGTCGCTTTTTCTGATACATTGAAAGGTACCATAAATTGTCAAGAACAGAGATTGTTATTTCACTTAGTTAACAAACATTTTTAAATAAATTGTCAAGAACAGAGATTGTTATTTCAATTAGTTAACAAACATTTTTAAAAAGTTGAAAAAATGGAAAGAAAGAAGAGTACAAGAAGAGTTTCTCAAAGTCTTGATTACCAAGTTATCACAAAAATAATAAATAATAAATAAATAAAATAAAATAAAACAGGTTCATGCATGTAGAATCATATAGAATAAAACAAGAGTGTTGTTTCAATTATTTAAATGTCGCTTTTTCTGATACATTGAAAGGTACCATAAATTGTCTAAGAACAGATATTGTTATTTCAATCAATTAATCTAAATGTCTTTTTTTCTGATACATTGAAAGGAACCTATAAAATGTGACCACCAGAGAAAAATTGAGAGTATGTTATTTCAATTATCGTACTGAAACACAAACAATATATATATAAATATAAGAAATGGCCGCCGCAGCGCCACCACCACCACCGTCCGCAACCCCAACTCCCGACACCACGTTACCAGAAAACCAGCTGATCGGTAATCCAATGTTCACCCGAATCCGGCTGGCCACCAAGTCCGACGTCCCACACATCCACAAACTCATCCACCAGCTGGCCGTCTTTGAGCGCCTCAACCACCACTGCGCCGCCACGGAAGCTTCCCTCTCCACCACCCTCTTCGACAACAACTCCGCCCCTCCTTTCCACTCCTTCACTGTCTTCCTCCTCGAAGTCTCCCCCAACCCCTTCCCTCCCATCCCCACTAATCCATTCTTCACCCCAATCCTCAAAACACTAAATTTCGACCTCCCAATTCATGACCCAGAATCCGATTCTTTCAAATCGAACCCTCATGAGGAAATTGCTGTTGCTGGGTTTGTTTTGTTTTTCCCCAATTACTCGACATTCTTGGCCAAGCCAGGATTGTACGTGGAGGATTTGTTCGTGAGGGACTGTTTTAGGAGGAAAGGGTTTGGGAAGATGCTGTTGTCGGCGGTGGCGGCGCAGGCGGCGAAGATGGGGTACGGGAGGGTGGATTGGGTGGTGCTTGATTGGAATGTGAATGCCATCAAGTTCTACGAAGAAATGGGGGCCCAGATCTTGCAGGAGTGGAGAATTTGTAGGTTGGCTGGTGAGGCACTTCAGGGTTTTGCTAATTTTTAATTGACAATAAAAGATAAATCATGGTGCTATGAAATTTGAATTTTATTGATGATGAAGATCAACAGTATTTATGAGAGTGCGCGGCTTTGAATAACTATAATATATAGTGAGCTATTATTAGAAATTGAATGGAAACATTCTTAAACTTTTTTTACTATTTTTATTTTTTTTTTTCAAAATTTATAGATAATTTTTTAAATAAATATTTTTTGGATCGTGATATTCAAACAGAAACATCTGCCTAGCAAATACATGTGACGGTGTGGCGGTCTAGACAAAAAAAAAAATAATCCCATTTGTCATCAACATCATCACAGGTTGTCTAACTCCACTAAACGCTGAATTCGTCAAGCTCAAATCCATCACAACCCAATTTAGTCCAGTGACTGAACCGAGAGCCTTCACGCGTCGGTAGACTCGGTAACCATCACAAATCCAACCATGGCAGCCACGGAAAACTCATCACACCTCCGTCTGCAACACGAGTGTTAATTACGCGCCCCACGCAATCCACGGCTTCTTCCTCCAGATCGCGTGCCCCACACGCCCGACGCGTTTATTACCCTCACCTCACCTCCGGCACCATTCAACCCAAGCCACGCGCCGGCGAGAAGCTTCCGGGTCATCACCTATCAATCCTCTGTTCCAAAATCGTTATTCGCTCTGCAACAACAACTCGTCGGCGACTATCACGTCAAAGAACATTAGATCGCGACTGTTACAAGCATCAATAGCAACTTAGCCGGCAACTCAACTCACAACTACAGAAGACGGCAGAACAAAAGATCGATAAATTAATTTCGCGAATAAAAGGAGAACAACACAATCTCAGCTTCTCTCCGGCGGCTGACCTAGTTCTGGCATCTGAGATTCCGGCCATGCTCTAGAAATAGTGAGCGTCAACAAGAACAACAGCCCCGACGAAAACTTGGTTGGTCCGGCGAGTCTAATTTTGGTGGAGATTGTCATGACGTGGCTGGCCATCGTATGCTTTGGTCAAACAAATCTGCTAAAATGATCGGCCCTAATTTCATTTTTCATATTTTTTTTGGGGCCGTTGCTCTCACTAAACCCTTCTTGTATTTGTGCGTGACAACTTTTAATAAGTTGTGCGTGGCAAGACTGAACCTCCCTTTCATGCATGTTCCATTATTCAATAAGTTGTGAGGGAACTTTACGCCAAAAAAATAAAAATAAGAAGAGAAGAAAATAATAATTTGTCGAAAGTGATAAACAAGGGATTAAAACAAATATTGGCATTGTTGTTAGGTGTTTTTGTAAGAAACAACTAGCTTTCTCATGGTTCCTAGCTAGAACTTTAGGTTGAGAATTACGTTTCTTCCATCCCATCTAAGGAATGCATTGAGTAGGCTGTTGTCTGGCCCATAATATATTCCAATTAAGCTTAAGCGGTTATTTAGATTGGAACACAATCCAAGTAATCCAGTCTAATATCAAACCAACTGAGCAATATATAAGTAAAAAAATATAGATGCTTTCACGACACTCTCGTTCTCAAATTTTTTTTAGAATTTAAGGCTTTCTTGCTCCCGTTCATCATGTAGGTGACACTCAAACGTTAAGGACTCTGTTTGGCATTTTTGTGTAGAGAATTATAGAAAGTTTTTATGAATTTGTGAATTAGAGAATGTTTTAGAAGGGTGGAGAGTTTTATAGAAATTGTAAATAACTAAATAATGAGTTCCAAAGTTATAGAGGGTAATTTGCCACGATTATATCCACTAGAGAGGAAGTTGCCCTTTTAAGGAGTGAAACTCTCATTCTTTCATTAAATAGCTGAGAGTGATTTATTATTACTATTATACTTATTATATTTTATTATATTTTATTATTCTGAAAATGAGGGTTAAAGAACCATGTTTTCATATATGCAAACAAATAAATTACATTTTTACTAAACTCACATATGGTAGTTCATTTGATTGTCCACTCGTTATTACTTCACCATATAGAATGAAAAAAAAAATTATATTCTATCATCAAATCATCTAGCTCCTATTAAATTGTTGCACCATTTTATATTCAAATTTAAAATTCAATATGTACCCAACAAGACTCATTATTATCAAGGCTTTTTTTCTCCAATTTTGTCACTAACAGGTATTATTTCTAGAATTTTTCATACACATTGATTAATCAGTCTATATTTCTTAGTTATTAATCATTCACCTCAATGTCATTTCAATAACATGAATGCCCTCTGCCCCATATAATTTAGTAGCTGGCATAACAACGAACATAAAACTCCTTACAACTCACTCATGAAAATGCTACATTTTTTTGTCCCTCCCTACCATTAAACTTTTCAAGTGCTTGTGTTCTTAAACATGATTGGATGTTATTTCTTCATTTTATATCCAAATTTAAACTAAATTCAATATCTACCCAACAGACTCATCATTATCAATGATTTTTTTCCTCTAATTTTGTCACTAATAGGTATTATTCATAGAATTTCTCACATTGATTAATCACTCTATCTTTCCTAATCATTCATATCATTCACCTCAAAATTAACCTTGTTCATAAGGTTAAGTTCTGGAAAACGCCTCTTAGATCTAAGAGTCGTTCTCACATTGCACAATCTTTAGATGTTACCTCTACCAATGACACAATCTTCCAAAATTTTGAGCATGCTTGGGCTCTAAAATTCCTTCGGCATAAATTTTAGGAAGGGAAATTTGTGATACTTCGGCTCCGTTTGTTTCGACGTAAAATATTTTTTTAGAAAATATTCTTCTTTTTCAAGTAAAATATTTTTTTATTTTTTATTTTGTTGATGTTTGACAAAGGTTGAGGTTGAGTCCAGCAGGCATGGCATGTAAAATAACTTGCCGAAAATTGATGAATAAGTTATTTTTGTTAAATTTTAATATTTTTTTCTTCGTAAATATTTTATTACAACCAAACACCAAAAAATAAGAAAATATTTTTTTAAAAATATTTTACGTCGGAGCCCATAACCGCCAATTTTTGTCTTTAGAGGAGAGGCGTGGAAAACATTGTGTATCTTTTCTAAGCTACTGCTCTAACCCTTCCTAAAATTTGAAAATGTTTTGTAATAATGAGGTGAAAGTTTAAGAGATTTTCAAATTGAAATTGAACATTGGCGATAAGCCTGAAGGCGTAAATAAACATAATCACCTATCTCAAAAGATCATTTTGTATGCCTCCTCCTATCCACAAAAATATTCAGGTGGTTATGATCTTTATGTAAATTTTGAAATAACAACTTCAAAATCGAATCATGATTCTTTAATTGTTCATCAAGCTGTGGCAGTGTTCTTAACCCATCAGTATAAGGAACAAGTTCTGCAGGTTTGCAGCCATAGACAAAATGGAGAAATACCAGTAGAAGAATGAATATTAGTATTATGTCAGTACTCTGTCACTGTGTGATATTTGAGATAATCTTTATGTTACAAAACATCGAAGATTAGTCTTTAGGCACCTGTTTACCATTTCAGTTCGGCCATCAGTCTGAGGATGAGATAGGTCAAGTTGCCTTGTGCAGTAATGGATATCTGTACGGTCAGACATTGGTGACGATCCCTGAAGAAGTGTAATGCGTTAAGCATGAGACCGAAGTAGGGCAAACCAGGTGGTGGAGAGAACACATCAAAGAACTCGTTGAGAATGGCTTAAATGCTCGGTAGTGGGCTGGGTACATTTTTAAAGGCACAAACTTATGAGATATGCAACAGCAAACTTGGAGGTGTACGTCTAAAAAAATGCTCCATTTGAATTTTGACAACAAGAAAGAATGGAGAATTCTTTAGTAGGCACACCAACAAGTTGAAATGTATCTCCTTTATAAGAAAATTGCATCAACATTTTGGAGAAGTCCCATATAATAAGCCTCAATGATTTGAGCCATTCTGCGCCTAGTACGGCATTATAAACACTATAAGAGAGGAAGTAGAAGTATGTTGTTAACGGAACTCCCTATATGTTAAAGTTGCACATCAAGTCATTGTCCCTCACTAGATAATCGATCACCATTAGCCACCATAACATCAAATTGAGCTTAGAGCAAATAAGAAGACCAGTTTTAGAGGCAACTAATGGATACATAAAATTTTGGGGGGAACCGGAATTAATAGGTGCGTAAAGAGGCTTGCTGCAAAGAATTTCAGTAACACGGTGGAGTCTGAGTACTGTTTGTGGTATGAAGAGAGATTTGTGGATAAGTGACAACAACATTTAGGCTCCATTTGTTTGGAATTAAAATATTTTTTAAAAAATATATTTTTTTATTTTCTAGTGTTTGGTTATCATAAAATATTTACGAAGGAAAAAAATATTAAAATTTAACAAAAATAATTTATCCATAAATTTTTGTGCAAGTTATTTTATATGTCCCGCCCGATAAACTCGAGTAAACCTTTGCCAAACACCAACAAAATAAAAATAAAATAATACTTTGAAAAAATATATATTTTTTCAAAAAAAATATTTTACGTGGAAACAAATGGAGACAGGTGAGCAATGGTTGTTTTCATCATTGGAATTGCGATCTTCAATAAGGAGCGAAGTGAGAGACTTACAGTTATGGCTAGGCTTGAATTTTTCTTCACTGTAATAACAAAGACCCTTGCCACGACGGATTTCACTTCCTGGCGGGAATTTTTTTAATGGTTGCCTAAGGGGCTATTGGAATAGAAGAAGGTGGCTTGTTTAATGAAAAAAAATTGTGATCCTCAGCGTAGTGCTTCTCTTGGAGACGAGCAAGTCCGATGGAATCCTTTAAAGAAGTAGGGCGGAACAACTTAACTATAGTCCGAATGTCCTCCTTGAGGCCACTAATAAAGGTGCAAGCGAGAAATTATCGGGAAGACCATCAATTCGCTGGGCTAGATTCTCATATTGTGATTGATAAGCCGCAACAATGGATGTTTGACGTAACTTGGACAACTCGCCCTCTGGGTCCTCATATTCAGTGGGTTCGAACCTCTTCTCAAGTGCGTGGATAAAGATCAACCAATCCGAAAGCTCGACCACATGTTAATTCTAAGTATTTGAGAGCTGCACCCTTTAAGAAAAATAAGGCATAAAAGCCGCTGGTGAATATGAATCTGATGTAGGAAGAAATATTGTTCTGCCAGTAGAATCCAACCGGAGATTTCCCGGAGCC